GTGTCACTGTGTGTCTGTCTGTTGACATGGTAGGGTATAGTGGCTTGCTGCAATAGAAAGACCCATGGGCTAGTAAACAGAAGATGTAAATTTTGGTTTTAAAGGCCTCCTTTCCTGGTTTTCTGATCCCTGCAAGTCAGATAATCTCTCTGAGCTTCAGGTGTTTCACCTGTGTAATAGAAAAAAAATAATACCAGCTCTGCTTTTCATAAAGTATAAGAATAAAATGAAATAACATATGTGAAGATGCTTTGTTAATTACCATGTACGATCCAAATGTGAGAGATTATTATCATCATCGCCCTGCGCATCAGAATGAGACGTTGTATATGGCTTAAAATAATCCATCCAGTGAGCAGTGTTGAAATGTAGGTCAGATCATAGCCTCAGAAGTTTAGAGAGAGGAACCACCTAATCTAACAGGCCACCAAATCTGAAGGTGCTTTGAAAGCTGCAAAGAATGACACAAATGCAAAGTGACAATTATGTTTAAGTCTAGAAGGGATGTTTTAGTCCTCTTGTTTCCTAATCTAGAATCGAAAAATCCGAGAGGCACTGGAGCCTCGTACACAGTTGTATTTGTACGGGTTTGTGGATTTGTGTGTGTGCCTCTGCTTGCATCGATGGACTCATGTCAAGCACCTACTCCATGACAGTCATTCATCAAATGCCTGCCTTGGACTACAGGCATTGCTCTAGGCATTCTGGATGCCACCAGGAATCAGACACTGACACTTCCCTCAAGGAGCTGACCACTGCTGTGCTGGGTAGGGGAACTATAGGAGAGGAAGGGTCTTTCAGCTCAGTCTAGGTAAGGGATTGGGAGGCAGGGCTAGGGACAGGAAATCTAGGATACGAGGCTGGAATGTTGGGTAACAGTTTGCTGATAAACCTGACGGGAAGTTGGTATGGGCAGAAGGAGCAGTCTGCCCAGGGTCTGAGGCTGGAAGCCGTTTGCTTCACCCTTGGTGCTATCTGTTGGGACCATGATGTGGAGAGGGAGACCAAGGCGATCCAGCCAAATCCTGGGGACCATCCTGCACATGAGCTAAGGAGCTTGGCTGGATCCTCCTGGCCGCCGGGAACTCCCGTGGCAAGGGTTTAAGCTCTGCAGAGTGTCATAATCAGCTTTGCATTTTGGAAAGCTCCCAGAGCCCTGGTATTTCCACATACCTTGCAGCAGGAGCCCCGCCAGATGTTGGGCTGTGCATGGTAGTGAGGGATTCCTGCATTTGGTGGGCTGCGCGCTGGGATTTGCATGAGGCGGGGAGGAGGATGGGAAGGATGGAGTGGGAGTGAAGTACGAATCCGGATGTGTAGAGCGGGGGAAGGTAGCAGTTCTTGAGTGACTCTCACATGTCAGCTTTTGCTACATCACCTTATTTAATTCTTATAACATCACTGTGAAGTAGGTATCATCCCATTTGATAGATGAGGGAAGCAAGACTCAGGGAGGCCAAAGAGCTGGAGGTTACTCCTAAGCAAAGAGCAGAGCGAAACTCCCAGCTCGGCTCTGCCCTCTCCAAAGCCTGCATGTCTGGAATTTCCACCCCCTCCCCTCCCCACTGGAAGTGTGGACAAATTCAGTCCCCTGGCTTGACAGATGAGGAAACCAACCTGGGCTCAAATCTATTCCCAAGAACCGTGTTACTGTTTTTCAGCTGTTCCATGTCACCACGTATCAGATTGTTTTCTTTCAGAGTATTAGCAACACCTCCTAATTCAGGGCTACTTACAGATTTGATAAGCATATTTTACATTCCTTTGCTCAACCCATCAGCAAAGATATGGAATAAAACAGACCCCGTGACAGATGCGAGAATGAACCACTTGCTACACTTCCTTGGAACCGTTGAGGGGCATGGCCTGAGCCATCTGCTCACCCTTCTCGGCGTGTCAGTCCCCTCCCTCCACAAGGAGACCTCAGGCAGGCCCAGAGCAGAAGCATCGCTTCCCACTCTGCCCTAAGACTCCATCACGGAAGAGTTGGCGGGAGAGAACGTGCTTTCAACATCGCTGCTCTTAGAGCCAAATGTCAAGGGCAAAGGCTAGGAGTTGAGACCTGGCTCTCGTGGAGACTCCAAATACCACCCAGAAGCACATGGGGCCTGAATGCTGGGCCAGCCATAGAGCACCTTGCACCAGGTGTGGGGTACACAGAGCACCCCTGCCCTCCCCACCCTCTCTGGACCTGTCAGGACCTGGAGAGGTGGCCTGGCCCCGGGGTCCACCCCTTCCTCCTGGGCTGGGTTGCACTGAATTGAATCCAGTAGGGGAAAAAATATGTGCCAAGCACCTATAGGCTCAGCACATGTGGTGTAGGTAAGAGATGTCAGCAGGGCTGCATATGGCAGAGGGGTGGCCTGTCAGGGCCCCCAAAGGCTTTCTCCACATGCCCAGTGGAAGCCAGTGCCCATCGTGAAATGTCAAGCGTCTTTATTTTTAGGTCATTGCTGTGTAGTAACTGTGGTTCCCTTTCACAGATCAGAAGCTCTGGTTGACTTTCACATCTCTGATTAATTCAGAATAAAAGAAAGTCAAATGAATCCCTCTGTCACAAATGCAGCTTGTTAAAGAAATAGTTTAAAGCCCAGAATTTATGGGCAGTAGGAGTTTTTCCAGAATCTGTCCTAGGCTCAGGGGCTTCAGCAGTAAACAAAACAGACAAAGGGATAAACCCTTTGTGCAGCTGTCTTCTCAAAACCCCGAGAAGCAGACAGGATGGGCACCTTCATACCCCCATTTTACTGATGAGGAAACTGAGGCTCCAAGAGGCTGCTCCTGTAACTAGGAAATGGACAAGCTGGGCTCAGACCCACTTCGCTCTTTCTATGACCTCACATGACCCCTGATGATTTTACAAATGCTGATCAAATGGTGCCCATTTGGCACCAGTTGAATTGGATCTGAAGCCCCGCCTCTGCCTGAAATTCTTAGCAGTTGTGTAGATCCAATCAGAACCTTCACAAATACTAAGCTGCACTGGCAATGCGTTCTCTCTGTGTGATCCTTTCTTATGTGGGGCGTCTTCAGAAGATGATGTAGAAGCAGCAGGCCTGGCCTCCCATGGGGCATGCACCCTTGGGCATGCGGAGCCCTCTTGAAGGCTCCCGCCAGTTGGCTCCTCTTCCCACGGCCTTTCTGCCCTCACCACCCCTCTGCTGTGCTTTCCTGAAAAGAGCCCCTGAAGGATCTCCGGTCCCAGGGCTGGCCTCTCCCTCCAAGACGGCATGGGGCTCCCCTGTCCCCTGGCTTCCTTTCCAGATGCTTCCTCCACTGTGCTCCTTAAATTGTCCTCTTTGGCCCTTCTCCAACCCTCACTGCCATGTTATTCTGCACAGCTTAGTGACAGTGCCCTTGGAGGTCAGCTGTTCTGACGCTAGCCGAACCTCCTCATCCTCAGTGTCTTTCTCTGACAGCTCTGGGCTCTGGCGTTGCAGCTCTCCCCTTCCTTGCTCCCACAGCATACCAGGGTTCTCTTCTGTGCCTCCGAGCATTGTCTCCATCTCTTATATGAGCTCTGCCTCTCTGCAGCTTGACTGTGGCCCCCACCTTTGCCAAGACTGGGCACCTCTGTTCCCCTGCCATGTGCATGTCTTTGGAGGCCTCACAGAGCTTGAGCTGTGATGGTCTGCCCCGAGGACATGGCTCAGCTGGAGGATGGACGGAGGGACCAGGGACGTTCTTCCCGCTGGTCTCACGTCTACAGCTGGTCACAGTGGGTTTCCATTTGTGTGCCCCATTATCATCTAAAAATTAATGTGGCAAACCACAAGGTATTTTGCAATCACAGAAAATGAAAGTTAAGTAGGACGTCGAGGGCCATGGTACTCAGGTCTCCGGGAAAGCTGTGGACCCCCTTCTCCGTCTGTGCTGCTGGCAGCACCCTGGGTTGGCCCCCTCCCCAGGGAGGGCCCCAAAGCCGTCTTGGGCTCCTGACATGGTGAAGGATGTGAAGAACAGCCTGTGTTCCCTCTGCAGGGTCAGGGCCGCATTCTCCCTCCTTCCCGAGTATCATTTCTGCTGGTGATTAGTCATGCCAGAGCCTGGCTGAGTCAGAAGGGACTTGTGGGTGGTTTGTGGCCAGGCGGGAGTAGTGAGGCAGGACTTTCTAGGTTTATGTCTCTGTGCCCCAGGAGACAAGCACATCAGGGCCCAGCCTTGCACAGGTGTCATGCGAGGGGTGGGGAGCAAAACAAACAAAACATTCACCCAAACTCAGTGAGCACAGAGATGGACTAGAGCTGAGATTCAGTCCCCACGACCCTCCTGCAGGCTGACAGGCATGTGCGGTGCCGGCTCCACCTGGCAGGGGTGTTCATGGCTGTACAGTGCTCCACTTTCCACGGTCCTCATAAGTATCTCATGGACTTCAAATAGATATTGCTTAATATTTCTTTTCACTTGATTTTATTTTCAATAAAGGTGATTCATTAAGTAGATCACAAATGTAATTTGTACCTGTGAACAAAAACTTTCTCAGACGAATAAACTTTTAACTCAAACAAATCCTTTATCAGAGCTTGTGTTATGATTTTGTGGTTCAGAAACTGTGATCATAAAGAGGGAGAGATGCCTTCTGCTCGGGCACAGAGTCTGTCCTGAAGTTCTCCCCAAGGATTATTATTTATATATGCATATATATGGGTGTGGGGTGTTTTTTTTGTAGAGATGAAGTCTCACTATGTTGCCCAGGCTGGTCTCGAACTCCTGGCCTCAAGTGATCCTCCTGCTTAGGCTTGTCATAGTGCTGGGATTACAGGTGTGAGCCACTGTGCCTGGCCAAGGATGTATTTTAAATGGGGCTCTGAGGGGTGACTCAAGCTTCACCAGGCAGGAGGGGAGTTGGAGGGGGGCATATTACACAGCCCTGGAAGTGTGGCTGGTGGGACAGGAGGAGGCTGGGGCTGGAAGGGAGGCCAGGCCAGCCCCGGACAGCCCTGGAATGATGCACTGCTTGGATCCACCTCTGGCCTCACAGGCTGTGTCTGTGCCTGCAGGATGGAGAGGAGCAGGAGGAGCCTCGTGGCAAGGAGGAGCGCCAAGAGCCCAGCACCACGGCCCGGAAGGTGGGGCGGCCTGGGAGGAAGCGCAAGCACCCCCCGGTGAGTGGCGCATCCTACACCCTCCTGTGCACACACGCCACACACGTGTGCCTGGGCACTTGATGCCAGTGATGTGTGTCCTGCAGGGACCTGGGGACGTTTAAGACCAGGTGATGGCGTGTACCCCTCCAGCTGCAGAACTGCTTCATATACCCCATTCTTATCCCACCCTCATTTCCCTATTTTCTTTTTGTTTGTTTTTTTCGAGATGGAGTCTTGCTCTGTCGCCCAGACGGGAGGGCAGTGGTGCAATCTTGGCTCACTGCAACCTCCGCCTCCCGGGTTCAAGCGATTCTCCTGCCTCAGCCTCCTGAGTAGCTAGTATTACAGATGTGTGCCACCATGCCCGGCTAATTTTTTTCATGTTTTTCATAAAGATGGGGTTTCACCATGTTGGTCAGGATAGTCTTGAACTCCTGACCTCGTGATCCACCCGCCTTGGCCTCCCAAAGTGCTGGGATTACAGGCGTTTTTCTACATGCAGACCTGGAAGCCCTGAGGGGTCAGGGGACTTGGCTGGTGGGTCTTGGGCCTGAGACTTGACCCAGGCCCCTGACTCCTGGCCTCCCTCTGGAAGGGAAGCAAGAGGGCCTGCCAGAATCCCAGGCTGGACCAAGATCTCCCTGGCCCGTCTCTGCAGGCGCTTCACTGCCACACTCTCACCCTGGGTCTCAGCCCCCACCTGGAGGAGGAAGGGAACTGAGGCCTGGGAGTCTGATCAAATGGGAGTGAGGAGATGCAGGCTGAGGAGGCCGTGAGAGAGCAGGAGGATCAGGGCCCTGGTGAAGGAAGTCCTGCAGGGGAGTAGGTGGCAGGGCCAAGCCCAGCTCCAGGCTTCTGGGGGCCAGTGCCGCTAAGGCTTGGGGGCAGCTCTGGAGAACAAGGCCCCTGGGCTGTAGGAGCCTGAGTGGCTTATGCCTTAAACTCACTAGACATGGAGCAGTCATTATTTGCCAGAACCAGAGACAGCTGGTTCCTTTCTTTTAGCCCCTTCCAGCTGAGAATGGTAAACTTGGAGCAAGAAGGTAAGGGGGAGTCAGAGGCTCTGGATTTGTTGCTCAGCCCTTCAAGGAAATGTTCTCAGCAGGCCTGGAGCCCAGGACTTGCTCCCTTGGGGTAGAGAGCTGGGGTGAAGGTGACTGAAGTGAAATGGGATGGCAGAGGCAGGCGGTGGGTTCCTGGAGGTGGGTGTAGAAACCTGCCGGATAATGCAGTGCCCCACTGCCAATTCTGCCGAAGATTTGGAGGGGGGTGGGGCCGGAGTGAAGTCATTTAACTGGTAAGTAATTTTAAACATTTTAATATTAAAGCAAACATGGATATTTTATGGCCTGGAACGAAAAATTCACATGGTATTGAAAGAGAAAATGGGATTTTGGAGGACTTTCTGGCTGGCAGCGGACTCCAGATTCCCAGGGCCCCTGCACGCTCCTCTACCTGCAGGGTACCTTGATGGAGACGGTGTGGGAGGGGAGCCAGGCTGGAGTCAGAGCACACTGGTGACTCCACATCTGCAGCGTGCCCTGCCCCTTTCCTGAGGCTTGGCAACCTGCGATCTGCCTGTCCCCATCCAGTTTCTGGGGACAAGAGCCACCACCTGTAGCAAGTAAAGACCCAGCAACCCTTAGACTCATCTTTGTGAATCTCTGGAATCACAGGGCAGCCACGTTGCTGAGAGGTAGAATGAAGCTCTTGGGTAAGAAGGTACAAGGAAGTCAGGGACAGGAGTATGGGTACCTCACCTGGACAATGACAGAGAGGAGGGGCACAGCCGAGTGAGGGGAGAGGGGCCGGCGGTCATACATCCCTGGGTCTGGAGCAGGCTGCAGTGTAGAAGGAAAAACATTGTCTTTGGGGTCCAAGAGACCTGAGTTCAAATTCTGACTCCACCACTGGCTACCTGTATAGCCTTGAACAGCTGCTGACTGAACCTCAGGTTCCCCTTAAAAAAATCTCTCGCCCCTGTGAGAATGAAATGGTGCATGTACTAAGGGGCCTCAGCAAAGGTCAGGACTGCTCCTGCCTGGCCAAACCTTTCCCTTTCAGGAGGCCACGGCAACCGTAGTTTGACGGAAGAATAGCACCTTGATCTAATGCTTCCCAGCCATGTGTCCTTGAGCAGGTCACCCAACCTCTCTGGGCTGCTTCCTCATTGGTAAAATATGGCTGCCAGGAAAACCTGCCCTGTCTACCTCCTGGGGCTCTTTACAAACAGCAAAACAGTGCAAAGCCTGGGCACAATGGCTCGCACCTGTTATCTCAGCACTTTGGGAGGCCAAGACAGGCAGATCATGAGGTTAGGAGTTTAAGACCAGCCTGACCAGTATGGTGAAACCCTGCCTCTACTAAAAATACCAAAATTAGCCAGGCATGGTGGCTCACACTTGTAGTCTCAGCTACTCAGGAGGCTGAGGCAGAAGAATCACTTGAACCCAGGAGGCGGAGGTTGCAGTGAGCCAAGATTGTGCCACTGCACTCCAGCCTGGGTGACAGAGCAAGATTCTGTCTCAAAAAAAAAAAAAAAAATGTGCAGAGCTGGCTGTGTAAAAACCTGTTCCACTGCAGGGCCCAGGGTCCACCAGGCTGGGGTGCAGGCCTGAGGGGTGGGGGCCCAGCATCAGCCTCTCAGCAGTCCTGGGAGGTGGGACCCATCCTGTGCCCATTATGGTCTGGATGTGTTCTAGCCTGAGTCCTGGGTCATACCTGCAGCTGCCTGGCCTCTCAGGAGAGGCCCAGGGTGAGCAGGAGCGTGGGGAAGGTGAAGCTGATTGGGGAGTCCTTGTTGGGGAGTCCTGTTGGGGACTCCTTGCACACTGGAAGAACCAAGAGAGACTGACCCTGAGGACAGCGGCCAGCACGGCCCTCCCTGGAAACCCATGTCGGGGGATTCCTGCTGCAGCCGGGGCTTAGCCCTGTGGACGCAGGTGTTGGTCCTGGCCTCTTCCCCTCCCCTGTAGGAGCACAGCAGAGAGGGCTTCTGAGGACCTGCTGCATCTGTGGCCGTGGGAATAGATTTGCCAGGGAGCTTTAAAGCAGCTGAGTGTGTCATCCAGCTAAGCCTGGGGAGGGAGCTTGCCTCAGGTCCTGACAGGTGTGATGGGGGATGGGGACTGGGAAGTAAGAGATGAAACCCTGGCTGGAGGCTGTTGGCTTCCACAGCCGGCCCTGGACAGGGAGGGTCAGGTACACCCACTAGCGTCCTCACCAGGTCCCAGCCCCAAGCCCGAGAAATCCTGGGCTCTCTCTTCCTTTTGCCCTCAAGGACTGTCTGTCGTGGCCTTCAAGAGGCATCTGTCCCTGGGTGCCTTCTGCCCCTGGCATTGCCCTTGCCCAAACCAGACTCCACCTGCCCCCCGCATGCCCAGGCCAGTGTGCTCCCTTCATGACAAACACTTTCCACTTCCTGAGCACTGACCATGTGTGGGAAGCCCCCAGAGGAAGACGTCTTCTATTTCAGTCATGTGTTCTGCAGAGAGGAGGTCACACATAATCACAGTACATGTAGCACCAGCATGTCTTTCTACAGGAACCCCCGGGACTCCATTTCTTAGGGGACAGGATCTGGATTCCAACCCCTCACCATCTGATCACCCCTTCCCTTGCTATGCCTGATGCTACCCCTTTGGCCATAGAAACCTCACCCTCTCACTGCTCCCTAAACACACCAGCCATTCCCCTGCCCTCCCCTTCCACTGCTCCGAAGCCTGCCTTCTCTCCACCCGTCCCAGCACTGCAGCCCAGCAGAACCCACCCTGAAAATGAGGCTCAGTTCAGTCACCGTGACTGACACTGGCCTCTTTTTTTTTTTTTTTTTGAGACAGAGTTTCCCTCTTGTTGCCCAGGCTATAGTGCAATGGCACGATATCTGCTCATCGCAACCTCTGCCTCCCAGGTTCAAGCGATTCTCCTGCCTCAGCCTCCCCAGTAGCTGAGATTGCAGGCATGCGCCACCACGCCTGGCTAATTTTTTTTTTTTTTTTTTTTAGTAGAGATGGAGTTTCTCCATGTTGGTCACGCTAGTTTCGAACTCCTGACTAGCCTGACCAACGTGGAGAAACTCCACCCACCTCAGCCTCCCAAAGTGCTGGGATTACAGGCATGAGCCACTGCACCTGGCCTTTCCTCTCCCTTCTTGAACTGTTTCTAAAATTAATAAAAATGAACTACTGATGGCCGGGCGCGGTGGCTCACGCCTGTAATCCTAGCACTTTGGGAGGCCGAGGCGGGTGGATCACAAGGTCAGGAGTTCAAGACCAGCCTGGCCAGCATGGTGAAACCCCATCTCAAAGTACACAAATGAGCTGAGTGTGGTGGTGCACACCTGTAATCCCAGCTACTGAGGAGGCTGAGGCAGGAGAATCACTTGAACCCAGGAAGCGGAGGTTGCAGTGAGCCAAGATCGCACCATTGCACTACAGCCTGGGCAACAGAGTGAGACTCTGTCAAAAAAAAAAAAAAAAAAGAAAAAAAGAATGGATAAAGACAAATTACAAGCCACCAATCACCCGCGTGGACTGCAGTGGTCTGCAGACCTCACTTTGAGTAGTGCTGGTTGTTACTTGTCAGTACAGAACTGAGTATAACTATTCAGAAGATTTTATGTGCATGTGATAATGTTGCCACATCCACGTGCTGTGATTTTGTATTTTACAACCGTATCATTTCTCAGCGCATTGAGAATTTAAAAATCTGAAACCAAAGCTTGCACTTTCATCCCCGACAGTTTGAAAATGCACCGCCATTGCGTAGTCACTGAGCTGTGCCACAATGAGTTTGCCTGCCTCACTGAAGACAGAGACTAGCAATAAAGGCTCATGGTTACACAGCGTGTTACTGCCTTCAAAGGCCTTTTACAGGGATTACCTTATTTGATGCCAACAAACCTGTGTGAGGTAGTTGGGGTCCACCTTCATTATCATCCCCACATTCAGAAGAGACTGAAGTTCAGAGAGGATGATCAGGACTTGGACGTCACGTCTCTCAACTGCAAAGCCCATGGT